ATTATATTGTAATAAATTATAATAAATTATATTGTAATAAATTCAGCCAATAAGATGGTGAGAATGCTCACAAGCTTACAAGAGAACTATCACTATTGTAATATCTATGATGACATCACAGGCGTTTTCATGCATCATACACCAGAATTGTACTTTATAAAGCCACACAGTTCCATAGAACCTCACCCACGTTTCACTTGTGCGGATTGTGCGGATTGTGCGGATTGTGCGAATTGTGCAAATTTTGAGAACTGTGCAGAGAACATTGTTTTGAGCAAAACTTGTTTGAATAACCCAGAATGGCGAAACCCCTGGTCTATCACCTCAACAATGAGCTCTTTGACATCTTTCAGCAGGAGATCAAGGAGCTACACCAAGATGTTGCGGCCATTACGATGGAGAAACTCAACACTGAACGTTACTATGAAGACGTTGTCTCAGAAGAGAGGAAGGAGAAGCAGGCCTTGCTTCTGGAAATTCAAGAGCTTAAGGAGAAGCTGGAGAAAGCTGAATCCAAGAACCAAGGCCGGGTGGGCAGAGATGAGACAACGTGCTGCCCCACAATACAAGAACTCCAACAACAAATGAAGGAAATGCAAAAGAAACACCGTGAGGAAATTGAGATGCTCACCATTGAGTTTGAAATTGATGTTGCTGTGGCTCAGAAAGAGGTAAAGAAGCTCCAGAAAAAGCTGAAGAACGAAAGAAATCTTGGTGCAAATAGTGATTCAGCAAAAAGGGAAGCCATCAATATTCTCCTAAAATTCTCTGACCACTGTGAAGGATTGAAGAACATCTCCACTGAACAGTCAACAGAAATCAAAGTTCGAGATGTGGACATTCCTTATCTTGATGTCCAACAGCTTCAAGAAATGCTCCAGAGAGAAAGAAAGCTGAGGATTGAGGCAGAAAATGAAAATCTGGATCAATTCAAAATTGCCGAGGCTTTCTTTGACATGATGGAGCAAGAACTGAAAACCGAAAGAGAACGCAAAGCCCAAATTGAGGCAGACAAAGAGGAAGCTGTGGAGATCGCAGAGCAACTAATTAAAAAGCTTGAGGACGTGGAGAAAACGTCCAAGCAGGGTCCCGCTGAGACCACTTCAGATGAGAGGGACAAAACTCAACTGGAGCTCCAACAGCTGGAGAAAATGCTCCAAGAAGAGAAAACCCAACGGGTCCAGGCAGAGAATTTATTAGAACTACTGGACCAAGAAGTGAAATCAGAACTAGAACGTAGAGCCCAAATTGAGGCAGACAAAGAGGAAGCCATGGAGATCGCAGAGCAACTAATTAAAAAGCTTGAGAACGTGGAGAAAATGTCTGAGACTGCTTTGGATGAACGGAATAAATTTGAAATGGAGCTCCATCAGCTAGAGAAAATGCTCCAAGAAGAGAAACGTCTAAGGGTCCAAGGAGAGACTGAAAATGCTTCTCTCTTGAAGACTGTAGAGTCTCTTCGGCAGGAAACAGAAAAACAGCTGCAGAAAGAAAGGGCTCTAAGAGAAGAGGCAGAAAGAGGTAAGTTGGAGTTGGAAAAGGTAAGTGATAATCTTTACCAGGGTTTAGAGGAAGCCTTTAAGATGACAGAGACGCTCTCGGCTGAGGCTGAAGTCCTTACCAACAAGCTTCAGGCAGAGGACAAGAAACAGAGATCTCTGCTCAATGACATCCAGGAACTCACCCTCATACTGGAAAAGGAAAAAGCCCTTAGAATTGAGGCAGAGAACTATGAGATGGAGGCCATAGAGATGCTAGAGGCTTTCCACAAGGAAGCAGAATGCTGAACCCGGCAGAAGAAATACCTGAAAGAGAAATGCCATCTCATCAAAGTTCACCCTCTTTAAAAGTCATGCAAATAGCTCTTTGTTGTTGTTAGCTTGTAAATATTAAATCCAGCAAGTATTTTAGATTATTAGTGTTTTAATTCATGCAAAGATTACTCTGTTATGTGTCTCTGTTCCACCACACCTGATTCAAATGACTGTATGACCTCCTCTGCAGCCACCAAATACTGCAGAAGTCTGTCTGTCAATCAGCCATTCATTTGAGTCAGGCGTTTGGTAGGAAGGAGACATGTAGGGCATGGGTACTTAGGGACTACGGTTGGGAACCACTGTGACGGTGGTCGATTACTGGTCTGTCCAGTAATCAAATGCTGAAAAAAAAACAAGCAAAATAAGGGAGGAAAACTTTTATTTGATTTTGAATCTATTCCTCCCCTTTACAGTAATGTAAATAGCTTCTTGTGTTTGTTTGAAATAAACACAATAAAGTTTTATATCGTCATTCTACGTATGACAATGTAAAAGTTTTATATCGTTGTTCTTTGTATGACGATATAAAAGTTTTATATCGTCATTCTACGTATGACAATGTAAAAGTTTTATATCGTTGTTCTTTGTATGACGATATAAAAGTTTTATATCATCATGCATAGACAATATGTTTTATATGTCATTCTATGTATTCAAACTGTAATGTAATATAAACAGCTGTTGATGTGTTTCTTTGTTTTATATGTTGCGAGTTCTATGTCAATGTTGTGTTTTTATTGTGTCCTCCCTTTATGTAAAAAGACAGTTAAAAAACAAACAAAAAAACAACAAAAAAAGGAAAATAATTAGTTGTTTTTATTATCTGATCTCTATGAAGTGGGTCTGGTGACATGGGAGGAAATAAAATGTGGCCGTAACTTAATAATGGGAACGAGAATAATGAGAATGGTAATTACTCGTTTATTTTGTGGGAAAGACTTAATTATAACAAGTCATGGCCACGGTTTTGTTTTATTTTTTCCTGACTCCACAGATTTCAGATGTATTCAACTTGACCGATAAGAGCTGGCTAAATTCATTGAAAACATTTTCCACATATTTGGGGCTTTTATATAACATTAGTGTCTGACCTTTTACATTGATTCCCAAACATTCAAGAGAGTCAAATATGCTCAAGAAAATCATTTTACAGTTTAGTGAATCATGAAACAATAGGAAGTCCTTAGCCCCTCTTATGCTTATTGTTCTCACTTAAGAAATTATAATTAGGAGACGCCAATTTGATTAGTACAGATGCTTCATTATTATAAGGTCTGAGCGGTTTGTTGGGAATCATTAAAGAAAGAAAATGCATCATGAACACATCTCTTAGATCAGAGATCATGTTGTAGGTGATTTTAAAGCAGGGTTAGCCTGTCCTAAGGCTAACCATTGAAAATCACACAGACGACTGTTCTGTCGATTATCTAAAAATGAAAAATAATAACACGACTAAAAACCTACGAAGACATAGCTGTCCGCCTTGATTGGTAGTGTTTGAAGTCAGTGTTCTGCATATTTAGATCATTCCACAATGCAAACCTGAGTCACATGACCAGTTCATTAGCAGGGCTCAGCAGAGCTAGCTAATTAGCATGCTAAAAAACTAAGCCAGCCATTTGAAGCAGGGGCACATAACAGAGTTACCCTGCTGGTAATTCTGCTGGCAACATAGCTGTGTGTTGTTTATCAGCAGTAAACAGGGCTTTAAGTGAAAAAAAAATAAAAATAAATAAAAGTGCTAGCACTCCCCTTAATCTCTTTTCTAAAGTGTATTGATTAAAGTAGGTTGAATAAAAATGCAAACCCCACTTTTTTATTTGTAACAGAAAACAAAGGAAGACACTTTGATCACTTTTCTTCACGTTTGTGTTCATCCATTTCATAAGAATGCAACAATATTTGAAGAAATTTGGGTAAAATGTGCAAAAGTTTATAGTCTGTCCTCTTTACATATTGTCAAATGCCAAATGGATCACAGCATCGGATGCAAAAATAAGATGCAATTACATGTAAAAGTATGCAAACCCCTGATGAATTACGTTTCGAAAGTCATAGTTTGCATAGAGGTTACCAAAGTTAAAATCATCTTACTGTACAAAGGTATCAGTCAGGAGACTGGCACGAAAAAAAAAAAAAAAACATTACAGCAGTTAAGGTAGTCACGTTAGCTGTGACTACCTTATAAATAATTCTAATTTTAATAAAATTAGAATTTTATTAAAATTCTAATTTCTCCAAGAAGACAGCAAACAGAAAACAAGATGGAAAATGGTCAGGAAGGCTGTCAAGAGGCTGACAGAAACTACAAGACTTGCAGCAGTTTTGACAAGTTCAATTTGGGGATGAGGTTGCCATTGTAGAGAGTTTAATCAAATGTATGGGGCTACCTGATGAGAAATACAGACAAAAGCTATACCCTCAACCTCACAGAACTAGAGAATCTTTGCAAGGTGAAGTGAGCAAATGTCTTCAAATGAAGGCTAATATACACCTGACAAATAAAATGTTCTTTAAGCAAGTACTTGCATTGCCAGTTTTCTGACAGAAGATTTTTAATTTACGTACCCTGACATTTTAAAGCACTCATGATAACACTGATGATCTTTCCAGAGCTGTAGAGGAGAAAATACCCACAGCATCACAGATCCATTGCCATATTCAAATTAGTGTTTTTATTTATATTAGTACTTTCCGCCAAAAGGTTTAATCTTTGTTTCACCTCAGTCACCAAAGCACGATTTGAGACTAAATTCACGTAGTGTTTAGCAAAATCTACATGTTAATGTTAGTACTTCTTGAACAAAAAAGGTCATTCTGTTGATTTAAACATTTTAATTATTTGCTCTTAAGACAATGGGCCTTTGTGTTACACATCACATACTTCACAGTGAAACAGAAAATCACAGATAAGTGAGTAAAAATTTATTGACACCTTAATAAAGTCAAACAGTGGCTCTGCTTTATTTATTTGACTACAATTATTAAGATTCCCAAAGATCTACAATGACACTTATTTAAAATCATAGATTTCTCATGTGACTCATGTGACGCTATCAGATTTATGAATCTGTACATTGCAAAGTAAATTACAATAAAACCCAGAAGGAGACAGAACCTTGCCATCAGTTCTGGCCACCTGCTGTCAGACATGTCCAGATCTTGCTGTAAAATCTTGGTACAAGCAGAATGCTGATTTTGTTATTAACAACCCGCTGGCCATCATCAACCAACAACAGT